GGATAGGCTCCAGCCCCCCCGCGACCCTAATGAGGATTAAGCGGTGTATAGAAAATGGATGGATGGTTGACTTGGGTTTTTCTGTTCATACTGTGCCAATGTGAGCTTTCTCCAGGTGCTATAGTTTCCTACCACAGTTCAAAGACATGCATGTTTGGTAAATTATGAATTCTAAATAGGTGTGAGTGTGAGCTTGCGTGGTTTTCTGTCTCTTTGTGATAGCTTTGTGATAGATTGACGACCTGGCCTCTTGCCTCATGTCATCTGTGATTGGCTTGAGCCCCTGGCGGTCCTCTACAGCATAGGTGTCAAACGCTGGCGAGAGATGTGTGTTTCCTAATCTGATAAATTAATAGGATTTACCTGATATAATTTAATATATTGTTATAATTTATGTTATGATAACACAGGAATGTGCCTACACAAGCCTCCGGACTGCGACCAAAATGTTCTCATGTGACCGTTTTTGAGCGTGTGCAGGCTGAAGTTTCAGGTGGTCGCATTGTACAAGTGAATGATGATCATCAGGCTGATCTGGTTCCTTCCGCCAGCACAGGTAACTGCTGCACCAGTTATTGTGGTTGGAAATAGTCATATTTCTTCCACATTGACTCAGTCTCTCTCTGTCTGATGGGAAAACAGTCAGCTTTGCTGTTACCGTGTTCCAATGATAAAACGATATATAGCTGATTATTTTTTAAAAAGGACTGCAAGGTGGCACGGTGGATAGCATCGTTGCCTTGCAATAAGAAGGTTGCTGGTTTGCGTCCCAGTGAGGACACCCGGGATCTTTCTGCGTGGAGTTTGCATGTCCTCCCTGTGCAACATGGGTTCTCTCCGGGTTCTCCGGCTTCCTCCCTCACAGTCTAAAAACATGTTGAGGTTAATTGGTGATTCTAAGTTGTCCGCAGATGTGAAAGTGAGTGTACTTGGTTCTATCTTTGTGTGGACCTGTGATGGACTGGCGACCTGTCCAGGGTGAACACTGTCTTTGCTCTGAGTCAGCTGGGATAGACTCCAGCCCCCCAAGAGTGGTGTTCCATACACCCCACAAAGATAGATTGATGTAATGAATTGGAATCGCATACTCCACCTTTAAGTCAGTTTCACACACGGAATCACTGTTTAGTACAACATTTGAAATCTGAATAACTTCCGCTTTGTTTGAGAAAACGCTCAGATGAGAAAAAAGGCAACAACTAAACTCACAAGTCATTTTTCTGACACTGTTGTTTATGAGACAAATTAATCCTAGGGTTCTCAACAGCAAACACACAGAAAATATTTTTTTCTTATCAGTCAGTTATTTATAGATATACATAAAAATGTAGTAATATTTTTCACCACAGACAGATATATTTCATGTTTGTCTAACATCACACTCAGCTCACTGCAACTTCTCATGAAGTGACGCCAACCAAAATGTGTCAGCACAGTGATCACTAATCATATTATCCTGCACCCTGTAATTAAGAACGGCTTCACAAAGCAGCATGGCATTGCTCTTGACTGTCTTTTTAATGTATGCATGTCTGAGGATTTCCCAGAAAACAGCAGTAAAAGTAATTCGACCTGATTTGAAAATATTGGCACGACCTGATTTAACTGAAATTATCCTTTCAATCATGTTATAAGTTTAGGTGGTGCAACAAAAGACAGAAAGAAAATTAGTGCAGTTAGAAAGCTGCATCAGAAATCAGAATAAAGAAAGATTCCCTGAAACCAAATGGCATCAAAGAAAGTCACGGAGCCTGGAGCAGTGCTGGTGTTTGCTTTTGGTTCACTTCTCCAGACTTGGTTTTCTTCCTTTGGAAAGTCCTGTGAATCTTTTCTCTGTATTGTTTGTTTACCAAGAAACTTCACAGGACAGATGTGTGGTAAAGAAATAGAGGTTTGGAGGTTAAACAGTGGGGAAAAAAATAGGACTATTTCTGCAATCTTCTCATCATCTGTTGTTGCTGTGGTCCCATTTCAAGTCCTGACTGTAATCTCATTTGTCTCAATGACACATTAACTTCACTGAAAGAGAGCTGCAGAGCATTACTAACTGTGGCTGTCTGGGTGAAAAGTTTGCAAATGTTACCTTCACTTTCTTTATCTTTTCTGTGCAAGCCCAGTTCCACCAGGGAAAGAAAAACACATGAAGTTAGTCATGTTTATTGAAATTCTCATGGTAAGTCAAAATTATGAGATATAGCGTCACATTTTTACTCACGAAAATGAAATTATGACATTGTGAGTCAACAGTTTTACTTTTCATGTCATAGTGTTGACTTACAATATAATTAACATAGACGTCTATTTCTTCTTGGTGGAAATGGGCTTCCATATATTTGCTGTGCTATTCCCTGCTTTCAATAACATCTTTCTCTTTATGTGCAGACATGTGGATAAATCATGAGCTCATGGCTCTGCTGCTATACATCTCTGTCTATTCCAGGTTTTAAGGATTGATGAAGGGTACCACATTGTTCAGACATACACTCTGTCTTATTTCCTGTCACAGGGTTCATGCTACAGTGTGTCTCAGGGGCCCTGGCTCACACTTTTTTTTTGTATTTTCAAAGGGGGAGGTGGGGGGAACAAGGATTGTGAGTGTGCATGTGTAAGCTAATTGAATAAAACTCAATATGACCGAGCATGCCAGGAAAAGCAAACTGCTCCCCGAGGGGTTATTTAGGTGGAAGGCAGCTGTTTAAAGATGGCAGAAGACCGGCTGTGAGCCACATCACACTTATACCTAAATCCTAGGAGAGATTACCTCCACATATTTAGCCAGTGTTTCTCTGGAAGTGATAAAACTACAGGGCAAGACACGTTTCCAATAGGCCAGCATTTAGCTGACTGTAGTCTTTAGCTGTAAAACTGTACAAAAATGGGCAAAACTAATCTTGATGGACAAAAATAATGCTTTTGTATATTGGCATGTTTTAGAGTTCTTAAATGTTTCTAATCAAAAGTAAAGTTTTAGAAGTGAAAAGTAAAAGAAATTGCGTGTTATTACAGATTTTGAATGAAGAGTGTTTGGGTTTCTTCTGCAGAATTTTATTCTGCATTAATGGATTTACTGAAAAAGTAGATCATCTCATAGCAGATTTATTTTCCAATTGCTTATTTGCGTTGCTTCTTAATAGACTTCTAAAATTTGCAAAAAAAACAAAACATAAATCAAATATTGTTTTTCAAAATCTTTTATAAATCTTTGCACAAACTCATACTTTTCCCCTGTCAATGCATTTTTTATGTATTCTTTTTCATTAAGTAAAATTATAAATACAACTTAAAGCCAGATTATTACTTCTTTTTTTTTTTTTTAATTAATGCATTACTGTGATTTTGCACAAGGAGTATTTTACCTGCAATTCTTCTACATTTAAATTGTTTTATTCAGCTTTGCAGCATTTGTCTTTGCATGTAACAAGAAAACGACAAACTGCACCAGAGACATCCGATTGAGGCCAGCGGTGCAGTTTGAACTTGTACTAATATAACGGCCAGATGAGCAGATGTGTTTGATATTCATGCTGACAGAGAGCAGAACAAACACTGTCATGTGCTACTTATTTAGGCTGACAGCGTGTGTTGTAACATGAAGACCTGTTTTGACCAAAGGAGGCCTTTTTCTTTCAAACATGAAGGAGAACATTTAGCAAACACACACTCGAACAGACAACCAACAAACAGCGGAGGGAGAGAAGACATGTGCACATGTTTCAACTAATAATAAAGCCAATCAATCATCCGCAGCGAAATAAAAGGAATTCAGAAATCTCGTCACATTGGATCAATTTCTTTCTTTTTTTTTGTTTGTTATGTGTTGATTATATTCGTTTTTATTTTCTTTATTCTCCTCTTAAAATTTCAAGAGCCTTCATTTATCCAACAACATTCTGTTTATATTAGTAGTACTGTCTTTGTATCATTTTTTTAAATTTTGAATACAACAGAATACAATAGAATAGTATGCTTTTATTGTCATCATACACAAGGTACAACGAAATTAAAAATTTGAAATTACATGAAGAATATTGAATACATTTGTACTAAATAATTCTTGTGTGGCTGCAGGGTGGCACAGTTGGTAGCACTGTTGCCTCGCGGCAAGAAGGTTGCATGCTCTCCCCGGGTTCTCTCCGGGTTCTCCGGCTTCCTTCCACACAGTCCAAAAACATGTTGAGGTTAACTGGTGATTCTAAATTGTTCGTAGGTGTGATGTGAGTGTGCTTGGTTGTCTGTCTCTAAGTGTGGCCCTGCGATAGACTGGCGACCTGTCCAAGTGTCCCCTGCCTTCGTCCTAAGTCGGCTGGGATAGACTCCAGCCCCCCCGCGACCCTAGTGAGGATTAGGGGGTGTATAGAAAATGGATGGATGGATGGATGGAATTCTTGTGTGCAATGTTTTCATTCTGTTGATTTCGCCCACATCTGAATTTGAATTTGAAAAAAATAAAATAAAATAAAATAAAATCTCACAAGCACATACAACAAGACGATCAGTCATAATCCCCCCAAAAATCGCTGCTAAAATATTTATCCAGGCAGTGAACGGGAATTATTTTATAATGTCTTAATTATTATAGTAAACTCTTAACTTTTAAATTCAAATTGCACAGACACTAAACTGAGATCAGTCGTATTTTTCTATTCAAAATAAGACCAACAAATTTTTAAAAAAAAAAATAAAAGAAAATAAATAAAAAATATATATATATATATCGTTAAAAAACACTTATTTCAAGCCATAAAAATTCTAAATATGGTGACCTGTATAGGCCGAAATGAAAAAGGTTATTATTGTTTACACTTTGTACCGTGAGTTTATTCTAATGCGGAGAGAAAGAAGAGTCCTTTGCTGTCCTTCAATTCAAATCAGCATTTGATTGAATTAAATTAGATGAATCTTTAATGATCCCAGTGGGAAAAAGGGGCAGTTGAAAGACGGGGTAGTTGGGTATCATTTCGTGCAGCGAGACAGAAGGCATGGACGCGGAGTTTGGAGCCAAAGATGGCACAGCGACGCAGCGTCGACCGTCGAAGTGCTCAAAAGTTTGACTCGAAGGGAAACTCTTGGAGAGGAGCGAGGAGAGCGCAGGTATAATGCTGCTTACAGGTGGGATGTTAGGAATAACGTGGGACCCAAGACGACTTACTGAGCCCAGGTCACGGTACAGCTCAGGAGTCCGGAGACTAGAACTCATCCTGTGCGCTCCGAGGAGCGGAAACACGGGCATGAGGCTGCGCTCCTGCGCCCTGGACTCCTTCAGCGTTCCCAAATACAGATGCTGCCTCTTGAAACGTTTCCTGCGGCGAAGAAAACTCCCGTTCTCAAACATGTCGGCCGACATGGGATCCAGGGTCCAATAATTCCCTTTGCCTGGATTCCCAGGCTCCCGGGGCATTTTGACAAAGCAGTCGTTTAAAGACAAGTTGTGACGGATTGAGTTTTGCCACGCAGGGAACTTCTCCCGATAATACGCGAAGCGCTGGCTGATAAAATCACAAATCTCACTGAGGGTGAGTCTCTTTTTGGGGCTCTGGAGGATGGCCATGGTGATGAGGGCGATGTAGGAGTACGGAGGCTTCACCGAGGCGGTTCGCCTGCCTGGATCATCATGCAGCCGGACTCCAGAGTCTCCCTCCTCTCGCTCTTCAGGACTCAAGGATGAAGCACGTTGCTCCAAATCTGCGTGGCCCGAACTAAAAACTGAAAAACCTGCGTGCTTCACATTTTCGCTGCAGTCTGCCTGACCCTCCACGCCGGTGTCCGTCTTTTCCGTGAGTTTCCTGTCCAAGGTCATGGTCCTGAGTGTCCGGTGGGACTGCGGCCCCAACAGGCGAGATCAGAAGGACAGACCCCCTTCTTCCTTTCCATTCACAAAAAAAAGAAAGAAAAAAAAAGTTGCGCATCTGACTGCATCCTTGACTTTTTAGTCTCCCACTCCAAACTTCCTCCTCCTTCTCTCGTCCTGCAAACAGTCTGTCTTCATGAGGACAGCAGCAGATACAAAGCGATCAGCTCTGAAAAAATATCTTCACATTATAGAGGAATGATGTGATGAAACGAAAGATGTAGTAGTATTATCCACTAATTTCAAATAGTCACGTATCAGATACAAGATACTGTCTAAACCAAACAGGCTTTACTATGTTAGAAACAGATATTCATTCTATTTATTTCACCTGTATACATATTTATTTTCACTGTTCTCTGCTAAATTCCTTTCACATGCATAATTTGTCTTTAATTTTACATTTCTGTTGTATTTCACTGATTAAATAGTTTTTACTGTTGGCCTACACAGTTTACTAGTTGAAAAGCTACTCTCCGTTCCTTGGCATTTTTAAAGTAAGAATTCACACTGTTAAAATCTTGCATAGAGTAGAAGTAAAAGACCTTTAAAAATCAAATTCATATGAAAGTGCAGAAAAACAAAAAGCATATAATCCTGACGGCCCCTCGACAGCCTGTTTCCATTCATACTGTTACGGTTGCTCACATGTGAACTAACGCTGTGAGCAGCTTCTTAAATAGTATTTATATTAAAGTGGAGCAACTTTCACTGGTTAGTTTAATCTGCAATTAAACTACATTTCCCAAAGTTTTAAATAAATGAAAAAAACCAGTAAAGCAACTTCAGTGGTCAAAAAATGTGCACTTGCCTTTGAAATGTAGTGCAGAAATACTAGTACAACATGTGGAAGCATGACACTTCAATACTGTAAGTACAGCACTTAAAGTAAATGTACTTCAGTGCTATACTGTATTGTACAGTTCTTCCCTTCATTGTTTATTATCATTTACAGTTGATGTTTAACTGACTGAAGCAGGTGAGACTGTTAAAGAATAAGCTTAGTGTATAATCTGAACAGGCACGAGCATTTTATTGAGCTTGTTTCTGTCTTTTATGTTCTTGGCTTAGCCAGAGCTCATTTCCTTCAGTATCCCTCATTGCTGGATGGTTTGGCACATGGTGAGAGAGGCGGCTCTCAAGAAGACGTAATCCATTTTGAAATAATAGCCGTACTGTATCAATCTGTGTGAGGCCACCCACTTGGCAAACAGACCCTGTAGTGCATGGTGGGCTGAGGAAACTGTGGGAAGCCTCCTCACTGAAAACTTCTTTCCTTTCACTATAGTTTAATGTGATATGAGCACCCCTCCAAAACTATTGTACCATTTTATAATCATTGTATTTTTAGTAGATGTATGTCAGCTGTTGGCCTTACAAAGGTTCTTACACACAAGAAAGAACTACGAAACCTATTAGTTGTGTCTTACTGAATTTAATGGACCAAAACCAATGTGAAATCACACAAAAATCTTTGTTTTGTCCTCACAGAAAAAAAGCCATGCCAAGGAAATCAGTGCACCAATTTAACCAGTAGAATATATTATCAATCAAAAAGAACAATCCAAAAAAACACCAAGAAATTACAGAAAACCATCAAACACAAACGCATTTATAGACCATGACAAAGAAAACAGAAATGAATAACTTGATTTAACTTGTGCAACTGAATATATTTCTACTGAACTTAGCAGAAAGTCTTGCTGTCAGGGCCAGGAGAAGTAAATGGTTTTGCAGTTGATAACAGTGAACAGGAAACTGAGCTCAGTACCTGTACAGAAGTAAGTTTCTATTGCAGCAGTCAGACACTGCTGACTACACATAAGCAACACTGCAGCTATTTAGAGGAAAAATGTCAACAATCATGACTAAACTTTCCACTGCATGTGTCTACATCTGATGTTAGCCTTTCAGTGTCCCATTTTTTTGACACAACTGATTGTAAGTTCTGCTGCAAACGCTCTCTTTGCTCCGTCAGTTTATCCCTCTTGGTGTAGACAGAGAAAAAACTAACTGATCTGCCAGACATGCTACATATAGTTCTCCATTTTTAAGCTTTAAGCTCAGAATTTTAGAGGGGTTTGCTTTGTTTCTTTAACCTGTTTTCCCGTGATGTATACAGGATCATAAGAGCAGTCACTGAGCTACAGGTGATGAGTGCTGCTGTTGGATCTACCACATTAGCGGTGAAGCTAATTTAAATACTGTGAGTCAAGTAAGATGTAAGAGACTAGTGCTGACAATCATGTTGTCCTCCTTTTCTGCATTCACATCCGTGGTGAGTTATGAAGAACTACAGGAGCAGTGGGTATTGTCTTAAACTGTTGTGTGCAATGTGTGCAGAGCTCAGTCACATGTGGACATAAAAACCTTTGCTCAGTGCATGTTCCCTAGGTGGTGTGTTTCCGCTTAGCTGAGGTCAGCCTCACAAAGTTTCCACACTTGAGGCAGCTGGAGTTGGAGTTGCCCTCTTTCCGAGGGATATGCCAGCAGTTGACACAGCGCACTCTGTACTTCTTATACCTTCAAAAGTCAGAGGGAAAAAAAAGCATGGTGGTGGTTAAATTCCTTTTTTTTTTTTTTAATGTCCAGGTGCCATGATGAACGTTGTTTTGTAAGATCCTCACAAATAGTTGGTGTTTATTTCTAACACTGATATGCGAAATGCCTCAGTTTTAGGATTGCCAGCGTAGAAAAACTGTAACACTGATTGAGCACTGATCGTACCGTGTTTTTGTAATATCTAGCGAGACTTCAGTGAGTTCACACAAACATCAATTTACTTGCGTACTTTCCTGGAAAATGTTTGTAAAACTTACAACTGGAGAAACTGTGGGTAAGTGCAAAGTTGTTGAATTTCACCTTTCTGCAAAGCAAACCAAGGATGGCAACATTATTATGCCAGTGATATTCCTTAAAGGTTAAGTTCACTGTCATTTCAGTCTGTTTAAACAGCAGCCCGGTGTCCACACTTAAACAGTCGTAAACAGGGTTTGCTTGCTATAATCATTGTTCTTGTTCACACCGGCTATTAAGAGATCCTTTCCTAATGTGAGTACACTTTAGCTGAAGGGGGACAAAATCCACAGTCCTCCTCTTGCGTTAAACTGCAGTCCCATTTTATGAGCCCTGAGCCGTCTGAGTTGCACAAATTATGCAGTCATCTTGCAAAGTGCAAGTTTTAGTATGAAATACTTTCCACCTGAAACACAAAGAGGAAATTTTGTACTAAAAACACAGTAACTTTTGAAGATATCCACTTAACTAATAAAAGCAGCTGTAGTCACTTTACTTACTTTAAAGCTTTACTACATTTTGGCATCTATGGCTGCCCATTAGTCTGTACTTAGTTTTATTGAGTTGCTTCTAATGGGGACATTTTCCAGTTAGTTTTCCACAAAATACAATTTGTAATAATTCACATTTTTTAAAAGCCTGAATTCTTATTGAACTCAGTGTTACAGTCAATATGGATTATGTGATTCTGGCAAAACTCAGGGAGATAAAATAGATGAGCCCTTGCACACATCTTCATGTGAGTGTTTTTAAAACATTAAATATAACCGTGTTAGTATGAGCTACCTTATCCCACAAGCATTGCAGAGTGGAGTCCCATCCTCTGCATCTCTCCACATGGGAGTTTTCCTGGTGCAGCATGATGCACAGACTTTACCCTCTAGTGAAACAGAAAAGGAAACATGTTAAATTACAGTACTTTGGAAGTGAATGTGCTATAAAAAATTATTGACAAGCATCAGTTCCTGTCTACATAAAAGAAGCATTACCTATGATGCAACGAAAAGTTTTCTGGAAATGGATGCTACATTTTAGCCACAAGATAACTTTCTGACTGTGTGGAGCTTTGTGTATTTTTTATGTCAGTGTATCACTTAAAATATTTGTCAGAGATTGACATGGCTGAAAACAAGAATGACTGGGTTAAAGGAAGGGTTATTTAATTTGTGAAAGATATAGAAGTACATACTCTTGTGTATAATTTTATGTTACTGTAAGAATTAAGTTCACAGAAACATTTACGTTATAGTCTCCTGGTAATTACCAACACAAGAGAAAAAGGCTCCTGTGTCTAAACAGTCTTGGTCTCTAATCCCCAAATGCTGGAGATACAAATGCATTTGCGTTCCTCTTTGGCCAAATAAGAAGTATATGCAAATGTCAGGTTGTGAAAAGTTGAGCATTTGAAATGTGTTTGGGAGAAGAAATGATGATGTCTTTATACTCCTGCTACTGGACATATAGCAACTCAAAGCACTGACTACATGTTGAAGTAAAAAATTTAAATGTATACTCCTTTTGTCTGTATTTAGCAGCACTTTAGTTTTTATCCATTAGGGTGTTCAGATAAGTTCATACACCTGTCCTCATTCACATGGTCAGGTTACATGTCTTGGTGTGGTGGCGCCCTCTTGTGGAGACAAATATATAGATCACTCTGGTCTAATGGTAAGGCTGCATATTCTTCCATGTTAAGCATGTGGTATCATTTATGCTTGAACTTGAAACTTTTTACATTTTTGCATTTAAACTTAAAACAGTGGATGTTAGATATTTTACTTGCTACTCGTGTGGTTTTCCCTTTTAGTCCAGTATGAATGTTTTGTTGTTTGTATCTCTTTGTGGAGTTTTTCCCTTAACTGAATCAAGGGGTGAGGATAGAGTGCTATATAGATTGTAAAAGCTATTTATGAAAATATAGACCTGATCTGGTAACATATTAGATGCAGTGGAAATTACAACAACTCTGCATTTCTCTTTGGTGATTCTGCAAAAGCATTGACATAAATGAAGCAACATAACTGAACAGAGCAGGTACTCAGGTGTTACTCACTTAAAACATTAGCTGTCAGGTCATTCTCCTCATCTGAGCTGCTAATTTTAAGTGATTTCTTCTTCTTTCGTGTCCTCAGCCTCGGTTTTCTCACATGCTTGTAGAGCTCTTTGCTACGATGGATACACAAGCAGCAGACTTAAGTTTATATCATTACTTTGTAAATCCCCAAGCAAAAATGCAAAGAAGCTGTATTTACCTGTACTTTGAAGTTATGAGGAGCCGACACTGTTCCCTGCTGTCGTCCAGCTCCGTGTCCATCCTGAACGTTACTCCCTGGAAGTCTGGATCTTGGATATCGGGACTCCGGCTGGGATGAGGTTGTTTTCTTGGAGTCTTGGTTCTCCACTGGTGAGTAGATGACAAACCAATTTCCTCCTTTTTTACTGTCCAGAGTTCTGGTTTTGATGTTGCAGAAGACACATTACAGCTTGAGGACTGCAGTTGAGCAACTGCAGGGGATTTTTCTTGTTTGGGAGCATGTGTGCCTTCTGGATTAGATGCAGGGATGTTGTCATCTTGCTTTAAGGGTGAGTGAAAACTTTCTACAGTGTTAAATATGAGTGAAGCAGATCGTGAAGAAGGCAGGACAGAGCTCAGAGGAGGCAGCTGGGTGTCACATGGTGGTTCTATGAACAAAGTAAGGTTTGCATTGTGGTCTTGTGTTAATACTGGCTTAGACAAAGCTACCCAAGCCTCATCATTTGAATTAAAAGCCAGCTGGGTGTTAAGACATGGTTCAGGGATATGTGTTTGCAACAAAGAATTTTCAGAGAAGGGTGCATTGTTCTTATGCTCCTGGTTCCACTTCAGTTGTCTGTTAACATTGAATTTGACTTCTGTTTTACACTTGTGCTGAAACTGTAAAGCTGCTGTTAAACTGTCCTTTAACAACTCCACTTTATCAGTGTCTGTTTTCTCAGTCGTCTGTAGTTGAACACTAGAGCCCATCTGCCCTTCTTTCACACAGCACTGAAGTGTATAACTATCTTCTGTGCAGTCCCCTGTGTTGTCTTTCATGGGACTGAGACACATTGGCCTTAAAGTGCATCCAGCACTTAAACTCTCATTTCTAACTCCTCCTTCTGTAACATCTGCAGTTGAGGACTTCGTTGCTGAATGACTGAATTTAGTGATAGATGATACTGAACTCAGCTCCATTTCCGCTACATCTTCTTGATGAAGGAGCTTTTCACAGTGCAGGTTGATCAGACTCAACACTTTCCAGGGGCTGTTGCAGTCACAATGTGGCTCAATGAAGGTTGTGACATTACTGCTGGGACTTTCCTCCTTTACTTTTTTCATCTCATCACACAGCAACACAGGAAACAAACTGTGTGCATCCTGCTCTTCCTTACAAACTACTAAAGGATCTGTCCTAGATGTCGTATTGAGCTGTTTGGAGGCTTGATATGTGTCCAGGAAACTGCTGTGGATGGGGGATGTTAGCTTGGAAACTTCTTGGAAAAGGTAGAAGAGTGCAGAATGGGAGGCATCGAGTTCCACTTGGCTTTGGTTTCCCTTGACAATGCTTGCAGCTTGAATGCTTGGTCCTGTGCTCATGCTGAGGCTGTGTCTGTACCACTAAATAGGATAAGATAAAATAATGAGAAAAAACAGTTTCTGGCCAAGGGTGAGAGCCCTCACTAAATGTGGCAGGATGATTACCATGGTAAGAAAGAAGAAAACAGCTTTGCAAAATTAGGCTTATTTTTTTCCAAACTTTCCACTGATATTTGAGTTTTCTTATTAAAAAAAATATTGTATAACTGCAACTCTTTAGGACACTAAGTGTAAATAACTAATCTAAAAGTGAACTGCTCACTAACTGTATGTGTGACAAAAAATGAAAAGTACACATGTTGAAAGGTTAAGAGTAGAACAGCACCAGTGCATCTCTGAATTATTTCTCGAGTTACTGAACTCTACTGGGGAGATGGAGGACCAGTCTTCCAGAAGATACTACCTCATTTGCTATCTTGATGATGATGGCAGTGGAAAGTGCTGTCTAACACTCCAAAACCTCAGATAGGTGTTCAGCTAGGCTGAGAGCTGGCAGTTGTGAGAGTAATAGCATATGATTCACATCAGTTTCATACCCATCAAACCATTAAGTGACCCCTGGTGCCCTACAAATGTGGGCATTATAGTGGGAGAGACCACTTCCATCAGGATAGAAATGCTGCATCACTGGATTAAATTGTTCACTCAGAGAAGCTTAGTACAGATTTGCATTGATACTTCTATCTAAGGGGAAAAGTGGACTCAAACCATTGCAGCAAAATGCCCCGGCAGCATGACAGAGCCACTGTAGGGGTCAAGGGTTCAGGTTTTTTCCTTTAATTTGCCAACCACCTCTTCACTACATCACCTGTGATTTGGCTATATCACCTACTTGTTTATGCAAACACAGTAGTGACAGAAATTTAGCTATGGCTGTGTTTGTTTTTCTTTCACAACTGTGGGCAATAGTGGTAATATCAAGACTTTTGACAACTTAAACTTCCATTTTTGAGAAGTTTAATTAGGTTTACATTATTATCTGAGCCTACATGGGCTAAAGGGAATTTTTCTAGCATTATTATTCTCAACTTGAAAGCACAACAAGGTCTAACAGTCTCTTTTCCGGTAAAATGAATACAACAAGTAACTCACCGGGATAATTGTAACGAAACTTGGAAGGCTCTGTGTTGTTTGAACCACTTCTACAACGCAAATGTAGCACTTTACACGTTCTAGAAGGTCCAGGGTTTTCGCGGGTCTTCGAGTTTGAGTGTCGCGAGCGCAGAAACGGGTTACGCGGATATTGGATTGATTATACTGATGCATATGAACGCGACAGAAACTGATTGAGAACAGCTCGTACTGACACCAAACTGAGGCCTAAATGTGTTGATCTCAGGACGGTGAGTTAAACTGAAGTCTACGTGCAACTCTGTGCACGTTTTAACACTTTACTTAATTCAATATATGAGTTTAATAGGCATTTTGTCATTTAATGTAGCTGTCAGATGCAGCATTCGGGCCAAATCATGACATTGTCATCGTAAAACAACAAAAAAAGTTCCAAGTATTCACATCATTGCATTAAATTGATCGATCTCTACTTTTGTTTTTGATCGGCCATGGCTTCTTTAGCTTTAATCATGTGGGTCTGAGATGAAGAGCTCAAAATGTGACTAAAATCTGGTTGAAAATGTTCACCTGACAGTCTAATCTGCCATTTGTGCTGATTGCTCACCTCAGTTCTTCAGATCGCTCATCAACGTAGATATGAAGTGTGTCGTCTTACTAGAGGCTCAAAGAGAGTTTGAACTGGGAGATGGTTGCTATGACTGGGCCGGGTTTTGGCGCTTGCGCGGGTGTTTTCGGTTTGCTAGATTACGCCTGCCGGGGTATAAAAGCGTCGCCCTTCCCGACCTCCAGTTTCACTTGGTAGCTGCTGCAGCAAAGCACGTTTTGCGACATCACATGTGCATGTCCACATATCTGCCTTTTTTTTTTTTAGCAGCTTGCTAATAATGCAGTAAATTGATAAAAATGAATTTGCCTAAATCAGCGTTTACTTAAGTCTTTCCCTCTTCGAGTCCTCATGTTCAAAGTTCTTCCTAATGAATGTCCCAAACGACCTCCTTTAAAACTGTTTTTATTGCACAACTTTAAATATTTGTAATTCCTAAGACATGAAGTACACAATTCACTTACATTTGTGCGCATGTATAGTAGACTTGAGTAAAAGGTAAATGTGGCAAACTCATTCAATGGCAACATGAAGATAACCAGCTTCAAATCAAATTCATTTCCACCTTCTTCCTGCTCTGGATCAAAGCACAGCTGAGCCAGATCATCTAATCAAGCCTTTGTGAGAGTCACCAGAGAGGAAGTGCTTTAAACACTGTTCATCTGCATCTTTTTTGAAATGTTTATAGTGTATGCAAAGTTAAATTCTCATTTGTTAAAAGCTCACCTTCAAGCATTAGACAAATACACTTCTTTATAATAAATCTGAAAACTTTTCTGAGGTTTATGGCTAACTAGAATCAGTGGATACTTCTTGATGAGCCACCACATCTACAAGTGAACATGGTATATTAAAAAAAGTAAATGCAATGCATACAATATCTGACAAGTGAGTGATAATGATGGACTGGCCAAAATGACTAACACCAGCTCCTGGTCCTTGTGCGTATATGAGCTGTAACAAGGAATGTTCCATTTACCAGCACAAAGATTGACTTTGTGAAAAAAAAATCAGCTCTGCAGTGCATCTTAAATTGTTGTGTTTCAACAACGAATGAGCCTGGTAAGACTGAATGGTGTCTTAAAGCTGGCCTGAGAACACTCCACAGAAATAAATACATGATCAGTTAAATTTTTTTTTTGTTTTGCAAGTAACCATTGGGTTCACCTTCAGTGAGACTCCTGTGTGTTCACTCTCATCTGAAGGCCTGTCCTGTCATTATTGGTTAACTGTAGAATTTGTCAGTTATCAGACATCTTGGGAGTTGCTACAGACTTTAGTATCCTGGTCGTGCATCTCTTCATGGTCGCCCCCTCATCAACCAGCACATATGGTGTCCAGCTCACAGCGACACAGTCGGATTTTTCCTCCAATCCCCCTCATCACCATCTGTTGCTCTTCTCAGTGAGGTTTGGGAACGTGACCGTCTACGTAGAAGTTCCTGGTGACTTTCGGCAAAGTGAGTTCAATGCCGTCAAGCTCTGGAGTGAGAATGATCTGACATCCCAGTCGAGAGTTCTCCTGAAGCATGGGCGCCATGTCAAGCATGTCATCCTCCCTAAGAAATAATATATCTGTCAACATTTACTGTGAGCTCCATTCACCCTATAACATGTATTTGTTGAGATGTATACTGTGGTCTAAGAATAATGCATCATTAGCAGACATACCTCTCTTCAGGTTCTGGCAGTTTGACAAAATGGGCAGAACTCACATAGACATGACATGTCGAGCAGGCTAGTGATGCCTCACAGGCTCCTAAATAAAACAAACACAAATGTCAAGCAATAAATACTTCAGTAGCATGCTTTAGTTCAACTGTATCAAGCCTCACCTTCAAGTTCAATCCCATGCTTGTGAGCCAGATACAGGACATTATCACCCACTTTGGCCTTTACTGGGATCCTCTGGCCCGACCGATCTACATACACCACATTGACCCTAAACAGCAGACATCAAACCATTAAAAAACTCACTTTAAACCGGTTCTATAGTATCTCATATTCCTATAAACATCACATTCAACATTAAATTAGGTTTCAAATTTAATTTATCTGGTAATGCAAGTGTTTCATCACCATTGTCCTCTTGCACTGACACAATTATGCACAAAAAAACTCCCACAAAAAGATAAAAAACATACAGAAATGTATATTTACATTTAATAAATATATATTAATTACATACATATCTCACATAAACATTTTTGGCTTAAAAGGTAACATAATGCTAAATATATGAAAAAGCGTCAGGGCACAAAAGTTCTATGACAAAAACTTTTCACACACTGTTACCTTGAGGATGGAAGTAATAAAAAAATGATTGGTTCTTAATCATTTCTGTCCAACTGATCACTGCTGCTCAACAATGACACTGTGTCTAAATAATGTAGGCATACAGTGTTGTTATTGTAAGTGGTGGACAAAGCAAAATGGGATGGTTTATGTTCAAACACACTGTGAGTGAGGACAAAATCTGCAGCAGTAAAGCAAGAAAATTATGTGACTGGCTCCAAAATCCTGTCAATAAATGGTCTTTACAGAGCCCAACAGGTGTCAGGGGTACATTTAATGAAGTGATACGCACATTAATTTGTTTTTTGTAAATGTTGAATGGACTACAGCTCTAAAGTTTTTTTCATCCTTGGTAGGACAAAGTGTTTTGAATTTTTGCCTTTCAATCACTTAGGTTCAGCAGCATTTGCAGTACAAAACTGCGTATTCTCAAATTACTAATTTGCGACTGCGCTGGTTTAGAGTGCTACCGTCTTTAAATTTAAAATCAGCTGGTGCCTCAGTTGAGTTCAGAATGTGGTCTGTGTAAAAAAAAAATCAAAATAAAATTAATAAATGCAAGTTCAGCATGACTTGGCAATAATATTAATTCATAAAGCACTTTCAATCTTTCACTTAAGATTAAATGTAGCCTTCACTGACTCGGAATTTGCAGCTACAGTTTCCAATAGCAGTAGTTGTGTGTGATAAATGCTTAATTCCAATCGATATCCCCGTACTCCTTCAAAATAAAAGCCCTGGCAAACTTACACATCCTCTGGGTCCTCGGCATTGGAGCTCCCCTCCTCGCTGTGGTAAAGACCTAGGAAAAGAGAAGCACGCATATGTGAGTATTTCAATAGGTGATATCAGCTCCTTCTATCAGAACCGGATGAAGGGATTATTTGACTTGTTGCGCACAAGTTTTAGATGTTTCACAACCTCATCTGAAAAAGCTGAAGTGAAGTTACACAAGTGTTATTGAGCGGACTTTCGACTCTAATAACTGCTGGTATCATTTAACCACCTGCAAGCCAAACTTTCCCGGTACCATTAATAACCTAAACACCGTCAAACAGACACGTTAGTAGCACTTATTCAGATTTAGCTTTAACAGTCTCAAGCTAACAACCAGCCTCTGACTAAAGCTAAAAGTGTTAGCAAAGCTGCACCGCTCACCTATACTCGTCTGTAAATGTCGATTTATCGTCCGAAAACTATCAACGGAGCCCCTCATTTGTAAATTAGCCGCACTGTTAGCACAGCTCCTTAACCTGTATAGAGGACAGGTGCTGCAGTCCGGTATAACTCGAGAAAGTCTCAAAGTCAGCCCCATGCTCGACCGGACCGCCGCCGAGGTCGCCATGACTCTGTTTTGGTCACATGACCAAAACTAGCTAATAGGAAAAGAGCGACAGCGGGATGACGTCTCCGCTGTGAACGTGTTGCCCTGACAACAGAGGGCGCTGCTGCCTCACTTCCTGCACAGGAAGTAAAGACAAACATCAGACTGACAATGACAGCAGTAGTACAAATGATAAAGTTTTCTTTTATTAAGTCAGTAATTCAGATACTGTATGTAGCAAAAGTACGCACTGGAAACTGTGGACTTTATTTGGAAGAAGTGTATTGAAGATATGACCTAATTATAACCCATATAATGTAAGTCCTCATTGTGCAGAAAAAAACCTAAGTGGTGTTACTGTCTATAATTACCATGAATACCAATACATAACACGTAAATGCCACTTCAGTGTGAAATGGCTGGTTTAGGTGGAGTGAAACTATAGTTAACAGTTTTGTGCTGCATCATCCATAAGGTGATCATATGCTTTGTATTTAATATAATATTAAAGTTGACAACTAAAGCTGACAGATAAATATAGTGGAATAAAAGTACAACATTTCTTTTTGTCTTGTATTGTGTTTAAGCATAAAGTGGCAAAAAATGGAATTACTCAAGCAGAAATAACATGTCAGGCCAAGCCAAGTCAAATCACCATTCTTTATATAACTCATTTAAAGCAAACTGCTTTCCGGTAGAGAACAGGATCAATGTTTTGAAATTTTAAAGGTGTAGATCAAATGGTGTTATTTATTATATGAATTTACCTAAGTAAATTTAATATTTTTATATTTTTAAATATTATGTTTAAAACCCTTCAAAAATTATGTAGAATACAAATTTATCAGACAAAATTAGATATTAGGGCTGAAACCCTATTGTATTATTAATTATGGAAACTAACACAACAAATGTAAAGTTACATTTCAGACCATACAGAAAAATATAAATGGAAAATTCTAAGTGAAAAGGAATCTAAGGATTACCTTGGTGAACTAACCTTACCCAGGCTCAAGGAGGGAAACTGTCTGCCTCGACTGGTTGGGGTGAGGTTGAACAGGACAGAACATCAAAAAGAGAACAGGACAGCAGACACAAACAGACAATGAACAAGAGAGCATTAACACTGGATTGATTAGCAAAACAAGGAAACCACAGATCAGACCTGTCAGCTCCACAGTCAAAAAATACAGTGAGTTACAGGAAGAGAGAGCAGAAAGGACAAAACCCAAACCGCAAGAGAGAGAATGTATTTAACATGCAATAACAAATATAGATGCATGGAGGAAATTACAAGGATTACCACATGTGATGATAACATATATTCACATATAATACATTTACTGAAGTAGACTCAGTGTAATACTTCTGTGAATGTATTTAATTACTATCCGTCACAGGAGCCTGGGTATATGAATCTAAAAAGCCACAAAACTTCCAGCACTATTTAAATAGCAATTTTCTCCCAGTATGGCAGAGATTTCACCTCCCTAGAAGTAGCACTTGTAACTTATTATAGACATCCATCCATCCATTATCTATACATCGCTTAATCCTCACTAGGGTCGCGGGGGGACTGGAGCCTATCCCAGTCGACTTAGGGCGAAGGCAGGGGACACCCTGGACAGGTCACCCTGACCAACTGCAAATAGAAAATGCTGCTCACACTATAAAGTGTCAAATAACAGCAATAATATAATAATGTATATCTAAACATTTAAAACAATTTGAAGAAGGGTATTTTGCACAACATGTTATGTATCTAACTCAAGTATATTTCATTCCAGTTGCAGCTTTGACTAGTCTAAGCCTGCTAAAATTATGCCTCTGGTTATGGAAGTAGGTCTGACCCTATAATTCAGAAGAATCAAAGTAAAATATGAACTTGGAGGGTCAATTATGGCCCGTAGTCATCGGTGTTATACAGCTGTGCAGTAAATAATTTTTTTGTCCCGTTTAATTTTTTTGTGTGTGGTGGTGGTGTAGAAAAAGATGAACTTAGATAAAAAACATGATGCAGCAGGAAGCAACATGACTGAGACCACTGGTGTGTGAAGAAAGAGAAGTGATGTTATGACTGGAGGCAGGTGAAGGGCTCAGGCACGCTTCTCCGTTTCTACCTCTCTGCCCTCAATGTCTACTTTACCAGAGAAAGGAAGCTATCTTAAAACTAGTGAGCTGCTATTAAACGCAAAACCCCTTTCACAGACGAGCGTGGTGTTGTTATCTGAGATGTGATTAATAGGCTTGAGAGACTTTATAATGACCGATGAGCTCATCCTCAGGGATATCGCTGTAAATTTTGTTTCACTTCTTATCTTTCCTTCAGTGTCTCATAATGAACTGTGCTTTGGGGAAAAGCACGTACTTAAACTAAGCCCCCCATACGAATCTCCCCGCAGAAGTTCCTCCCTTGTGGCCATAAAAAAGTTAGTGGGGCACTCTGTGTACTTTTTTATTTTATGGCGACTCACTGGAGTATAGATTATTCTTTTTGTATACTTTAAACACACATAATGAAGCACTATTATAGTCTCGTACATGTACTTTCTCACACACACACACCTGCACAGGATTATTGTCTGGGGACAGTTTACCTGTGTGCCTGTGAGTTTAAAGCACTTAGTGTACCACTGGGACCTGCTGTCCTCAGGTCCTGCAGGTGTGTGTGTGTGTGTGTATGTATATGTGTGTGTGTGGACATGTGGTGGGTGGAGGTTGTTACACGCTCGACTTGGATATAATGATTATATTTCCGTCACTCCCTAACGACTGTGCATTACAAAATCTCACACTTAAGATAGATATGCATCAAGCAGGACTCACACAGTTAACAAACACTCTCACAATCTGCTCATCCACACAGCGACAGCAGGCATTTTAGCAGTGATATAGTGATCTGGTGAATCTCCAGAGAGCACACCACATGTATGTGTGCGGCTTGTGTTTCCAAAGCCAGATGAAGCGTGGAAAAACACAATATTTCTCAGCGGTCCTTCAGGTGCTCTCAGTCACTCCTATCAACAGTCTCACTGTTGTTTTTTACATGTTGAACTTTAACACTCTCAACAAAACACTGGGGGATTCACCAATTGTCACCTGAATGTTAAAATTGAGCTTTTAAAATTTGCACATTTGAGCCTCACAGACAGACTTTTTAAAAAAATGCAAGATACGGCTGATGAAATCATAGATTTTTGTTGTTGTCAACCAGCCTCATAAAGTGTAGTACATTTATCCTACTAAGGAGTATTCATTTGTCTAAACACACCAATTAGGTTTATTTTGAGTCAATGCAAGATGCTTCAAATGCTTGTTAGAGCACCGAAAGTGTTTTTATCCACATCCGAAAACAGCCTTTTCTTAAGTAACTTTTGCAAAAACAACTACAGTGTTCAGCTGTTTAAGGACATTCTTGCAAATGGAGCCATGTTTTTAGGAGTTGTTTTTAAAAGTTTTTCACCTTCAGTAGGAATAAATGGGCACAGAGCTCAGTGCAATTGACTGGGTAAGTCAGAAAGTATTAAAAACAGATGATGACATCACTGCATTTATCTTTACGTTGGACTTATTAACAGAAAGAAAAATATAGAATCACACACGCCTTACTTTTTAATTCCACCACCTTCCAATATGTACAAGCAGCATGTATCAAGTCAAAACATGAAAATAGCCAAAGTTGGAGTGCAAGGTTTGTGTGTCTTGAAAATGTTAAACTGTCTGTATTCACATTTTCCTCCCCACATTTGATGATATTTTTGCCTTCACTGTCAGTACATCATCAGCTGTGATTATATTCAGTATATTAGGCCTCTATGTTAGTGACAGAAGTGGTTTTGCTTGATTTCAGATGTTGTACTGCCCTCCTTTGGGAAGAGTCAGATTGATGTCAGATGGGTGTTTTAATGGAGTTTTAATGTTTTATGGATCATCATTACCTTTAAAACAGCTTCGAATGAAAAAGCAAACATTTACGACCACAAAAACGTAATTGTTTCCTTTAGCTTTGGCACCTAGTTTAATGAAACAATATTGTTAAAACAATATGTTGAACTGGTTTCAGCAACTTCACAGCTACCATTCTGCTGAACACAACTTCAAAGAAAACCTAGTGATGAGTAAATACGTGAATGCTGTAACTGAGTTCTATTTAATCTTATCAGTATCTCCATCTTACTGTTAGAAACTGTACTTTTTTTTATGTGTTTTTTATGCAGGTGCGTACCTGCACGAGTGGCATTGTCATGTCTCGTCGATGACTCACACGAGAGAGTAACTAATTGGAAACAGGTAGAGAAAAAAAGTGTCCCTGTGCGCTTTCATACTTCATCTGTGTGGGAAAGCTTGTCTCTCAGCCAGACAAAAGGGAAACTTACCGTAAGTGTGAGTAAACACAGCAGCAGCCTGCGAGTTGGCGTGATTGCAGGGAAAACAGCTTGTTACTCACACTCAAGGAGATGTTAATGCTTATGGGACACTGTATTGTACATCCCTACAGATAAACGTGAGAACACCTCTGAAGTGTCTCTTGGGCTCAAGGCTGAGTTGTAGTGTTTGTGATTAATAACCTTTTTCACACACTAAACACTAAAAACTGTGCAACGGCTGACAATGAGATGTTTGCTTTAGCTTCAGATCTGCATTTGGTTAACTGGTTTCAAATTGTGGCCTTTGCAACTTCTGTCTGGCCTGTGATAGACAGTGCTGACTGCTGATTGTTGACCTTTGACACCAGATAAAGAAAAGCTGCAGAGGGAGAGGTCAAAGGCTTGACAGGTCATGGACGTGTAACAAATCGTGTCAACAAATCCAAACACACCCAGAAAGCTCTCAGTTCACCCTTGTTGTTCTTTTTATTTGTTTTTGTTGGTAATTTGCTAATAGGATTGTGGTTAAAGTTTTAACTTGTATTGATATAAAATAGCCATTTAAAGGGGGATAAGTATGGGGAGACCCAGCTAGAAATTTTTGGTTCTTAGAATGTTCTTAGAATGTTGACTGGAACGTTGTTGCAATGTTTT